TGCTGATGGAGCTGCAGAGAATGTCCTTGGTGGCGGCGCTGGCTTGGAGTCGGAGCGACGGCGCGGAGCTGAACTCCGCCTTGCCGAGGTAGCACTCCATGACCGTCATGCGGTTGGTGGTGAGGGTGCCGGTCTTGTCGGAGCAGATGGTGGTGGCACTTCCCATGGTCTCGCACGCGTCCAAGTGGCGCACCAAGTTGTTGTCCTTGAGCATCTTCTTCACGGAGTACGCCAACGCAATGGTCACGGCCAGCGGCAGGCCTTCCGGGATGGCAACCACCAGCACCGTCACACCGAGGATGAAATGGTTGAGGTAGTTCTTGAAGTACTTGTTGCTCCACTCTTTCTCGTCGATGGCAAACGTGACGATGGAAAAACGAACGATGAGCGCCACGACCACAAAGATGGACGTGAACAGACCAAGCTTGCCAATGAGCAACGTGAGGCGGTCCAATTTGCCTTGCAGGGGCGACACCACGTCGTCGTCCTCCGAGTCCCCGTCCTTCTTGGCGTCCGAGCCTTTAGGGGTTTCCACCGCAGCATACCCATCGTCCTCGACCACGGGTTGAGATGCCTTGGGGGCCTTCCCCTTGCCCATGATGAGTTTGGAAATGATTCCGGCCTGGGAGTTTTCCCCCACGCAAATGACGAGCATCTTGCCCACGCCTTCCATGACTTTGGTGCCCGACAGCAAGAAGGGGGCCAATCGACGGTTCTTCTTGAGCAAGTCGGACTCGCCCGTCATCGCACTTTCGTCCAAACTGAGGTCGCTTTCGTCAAACACCAATCCGTCCGCAGGGATGATGTCGCCGAGGTCCACACGGACAATATCCCCCACGACCAAATTGAACTTGCTCACTTCAGCAGGCACACCGTTGCGAATGACTTTGATCTTCTCGTCTTCCTTGATGGCGTTCAGCGCGCGGAACTGCTTTTCCTTTTGGTAGTCGTTGATGGCCGTCACGAACACCACGATCAGCACGGCGACGATGATCGACGCGCCTTCGATCCACGCCACGCTCGGGTCCCCCCCCCCAGCCAATCGACGGCCGCCCTCCTTCGTCGGTTCGTCCTCAGCAAACGGAATGAAGCCCAGAACCAGCGAAATGAAACCGGCCACGGTCAGGATGATGATGGTCAAGTCTTGGAAGGCATGCCACATGAGCTCGAAGATCGTCTTTGGCTTCTCGGGCTCAACGTAGTTTTTGCCGTAGCGGAGTTCGCGAGAAGCCAGATCCGCAGCGTTGTTGTTGTCCAGACCATGCTCCAGCGAGACGTTCAACGCTTGCGCGACACCTTCGATGCCTCCAAGTTGGGCGAGAGTGTCGGCAGCTCGCTCCTTCTGGGTCTCAACCAGACGCACCAAGTCGTTCAAAGTCAATGTCATGTTGAGAGGACACTGGAAATGGCAGAATGGCTTTGAAGACGGCATCCTCACTTAATACGCTCATGAGACAGGGTACGATATTGGCCGCCCTTGATGGACGGCCTTTGCCTATACGTGGCGGTCTCATCGAGCCAGTAATATATAGCTGTGGATGGGACAATGTTGAGGCCGGCGTATTCAAAAATTACAAAAAGATTGAAACATGCAGAAACAGGTGTTTTTGACATGTCACTGACGTTATGCATATCTTATCAGATGCATATCAATCAATTAATTGTACCACGTAGGAGTATATTCTGAGCAGGTCATTCCTTTCATGGTCGCGAAAGCAGTACCTTGCAACTTTCAACAATGCGAAAGTCGTCGCCTTGCTTTTCAATGTGCGTTGCATCGGATTTCGAAATACAAACCAACGCTTGGGATGCAGTTATAGTTTTACACTTACCACGAAGTAGAGCACTACATATTTCTAGATATCGTCATGACAGCACGACAGCATTCGTGTACATAAATCACCGAGGATCATCCACAAGTCAAAACGAAGGACTGCTTAGTATGTGTATTCCGCTTTATTATATACTAGTACCTAAGAAGTAGGACGACTATTTTCTACAGGTTCGTTGGTGCCTAATGCAGACCCTTTTGTTGTGTCACTGACTTCTGGAACGCCTTCACCACACGCATCTGGACCTGCAGGCGCTTCAAACTTCGACGCCACAATGTCTTGGTGCGGGCACTGGGGACGTTCTCGACAACCGAGGTTTCCTGGCACATCGTAAAGCTGGCAGGAAGGGTGATGCAACGAAGGAACAGGCCCACCGGTAACGAAAGCGAGCCGAGGCCGATGCAGATAAACCATTGGGTCAGATCCAACGGCACGCAACCAAACACGAGCGACCCAAACTCGATGATCAACACTTGCAAGACCAACTGCACCACCGAAATGCCAAGGTAGATGTGGTTGGTCAGGATGCCTTCAAACACGTTCAGCTCGTCGTGGATGCGACGGGCGTTGATTTCGTTGAACAGCTGCAGGAACACGAACGTGTTGAAGATCATCGTGTAGTGCACGGACGGTCCGGTCGCGCCAACCGGCTTGCGGTCGTACTTGCGGCCCGAATCAATGCCGAAGATCTTGTCCCCGGCAAACGTCATGGTGAGAATCACCGCCAACTGGAAGATGGACTGACCAACCATGTGCTTCAACATGCGCTCCGAAATGAGGGGCTTGGTGCGCGGGTACGGCTTGCGCTTGAGCATGGCTTCCGTGGGGGC